AGATCCAGGCAATCGCATAACAATATCATAATATTATATCTTATATCTTTAAACGAGCAATCTGAACTCGGAAACGGCTCCAACGATTTTTATAAAGTTTAGTATACAGGGGATTTCGGGGGCGATAAATCGATGTACCTACGATTTATTTTCAGAAAATGTTGTTATATTCGTGTTTTTAATAATCAACTTTATCGATAATCAACTTCATGACTCTTTCCGACATCTATTGGCGAATAATAATACTATTTTTCTTAATTGAGAGCAACTAACTGCTTTAAAGGTACAATAACACTTAAGCTACTTTAGATGGCGTTGTTAAGCCACCCGAAGCCAATGAGTGTTTGGTTTAAGGTTAGACAGAGAACATGAATTGTTTATTTATATTATTTGTGTCTTTTTAACTCACGTGTTCACTTAAAAATGCCTAAATGATCTTGGAATATTTCATCATTTTATCAATATGTAATTCGTATTTAAATATACTTAATTTCTAAAAAACACAATTTATCAAAAAAAAAACGTACGTCAAGGTACGTCTTGACATACCTTGACTTGACAGTTCAATTACTCTACTCCGGTGAGGGACGTTTGAGTGGAGTTTATGTTTACGATCAAGCATACCATAAAATACCAAATAAACGCTCGTTGGAGGTTTCGTCGAGTCGAGTTAAACTCGAGTGAACGACTAAAGATATGGAGGTGAGTTTGCCTACTCATAAAACTGAGTTCTATGGCAGATCTTATAGGTACTGTCAAGGCTGTCAGACTTCGTTCAACTTCCTATTTCCATTCTTTCTGGCAGCTCGAGTCTGTTGGTGTGTTCTAAAATAAACGTCAAAAATCATTATTTATTTTATTTATTATATTTATCACCTTGTTACATCTGTCATCTATTCCCATTTATCTAGTAGGTACTTATGTAGATAGGTTTTTTTATAGTTTTCTGATTGTTTTGAACAAAGAGTTCTTTCCAAATGAATGAAAGTTACATTTTGCAGTAAGAAATAATTTGTGTTTATGTTGTTGTTCTCTGTGTTTGTTTATTATATTAAATATATATTGGTTTTATTTATATTTGTTTGTATCTATTTATGTATATATTTTGTATTTTTGAAAGTATTTTTGTTCTTATTTTGATATATCTGAGTGCAATAAAGTGTATTGTATTGTATTGTATTGTATTGTACTCGTATAATCACAACACTAGTCTGCTCAGTGTACCTACACAACATAGGTATTCTAAGTACTCCTCCCAATGACTCGTGGGGCGGCTTTGCTCTCTGATTGTCATCGAATCATGGCGGCAATATGTTTTCAATAGGCCGAGACTTCTACATTGTATTTGTATTAAGTTGATAAATGGTAAGAAACTATTTAATTTTCCTGACACAATTTTGACTATATTTTTGGGTAAAGCACTTTCTTACAAGAAATTTCATGGAGTTTATTTTCTTAGCAGCATTTCAAGNCGCGTGGGGCGGCTTTGCTCTCTGATTGTCATCGAATCATGGCGGCAATATGTTTTCAATAGGCCGAGACTTCTACATTGTATTTGTATTAAGTTGATAAATGGTAAGAAACTATTTAATTTTCCTGACACAATTTTGACTATATTTTTGGGTAAAGCACTTTCTTACAAGAAATTTCATGGAGTTTATTTTCTTAGCAGCATTTCAAGTGATTCACAATGTTATTATGCGATAATTACGTAAAGGGCTCAGTAGATAAAAGCCACTTACTACTTGGTCAGAGCATTACATGTTCTTTCTACACACTCAACTGTATTCTTACTGCACTAAGGTCTACGTAATCTCTATTTTTTTAATAGTTAAAACACTTTTGGCCATCGTTCATGTATTATTCCTCGGGCGTGACCAGCCCGTCACCATTATTATTCGAACACATTCTTTAGTACATCTTTCCTTATATTGTTTGTAATTTCTTGTCCAACTAACTAAACACTACTAACACACACTAACTAAATCCTGTCCTTTCGAAGGTTCCGAGGTCTTGCTTGGCGAGGGACCAAGTCTGAGAAACGTGTGTATGTACAATACATTGGTATGGCGAAAAGGCCCGTTTCCAGGTTTTTGTTTTAAATTTGGTAACTTTTGCTAAATTTTACAGTTAAAACATGATATCACTCTCTCGTACTTTTTCGACATGCATTTCATTATTTTTTTATTTTATTTCCATTGTTGGCAGACGAGCATACGGCCTACCTCACGCTGAGTGGTTACCGTCGCCTATGGACTTCAGCAATGCCAGGAGTAGAGCCAAGGCGCTGCCTACCGGAAAGTCGCTGCCCACCGTATTTCTCATTCGCATTTCTTGCTACGCACGGTAATGTAAATGTGATCAGGTCAACGCCCATAGACATAACCCATTGAGTTTCGCGCCGGATCTTCTTAGTGGGTCGCGGTTCCGATTCGGGGGTGGATGAGCGGTGGTGGATTCAATGACTGCTTTTGCCAGGTCCAGTGTTAGCGATTCACTCAACTTGAGCCCGCGAGCTCACCTACCGGTCAATGAATTGTTGGAATATTTCCTTATGCTACCAAGGATCAGATAGGGAAAAAATATTATTAGTCATATCTATTATTAACAAGCTGACCCGGCAGACTTCGTAGTGCCTCAATCGATAAATAAAAGACCTAAACTTTTGTATAAAATAAACTTAGAACAAACAAAAGGAATCCGTCCGACGGGAGACACATCTAAGAAAAACAAAATTGTTATTTTTATTTAATTCCGAGCATTTTCATATTTATATACCTTTTAAACCTTCCCTGGACTTCCACAAATAATTCAAGACCAAAATTAGCCAAATCGGTCCAGCCGTTCTCGAGTTTTAGCGAGACTAACGAACAGCAATTCATTTTTATATACCTATATATAGATAGAAGATAGATTAAGAAGATTATTAGTTTGAATTTGTGATAATCTTGGTTATTGGTTGATTCACTTCTAAATTCACTTTTACATTTGCTTTGCACAATGATTCTGTAATTTACTGAATTTTTACAGGTTCTTCTGAATAAACTAATGGGACAGATGTTTTCCATGAATGTTAAAACCTGTACTCTTCCAGTTCATCTATTGTATCAAATCATTTCTTGTAGCCCGGTCTTAAAAGCTTAGTGGATTATACATAGATATGTATGTACGTTTTGCTTGATACACATTTTAGTAAGGTTACCGATTTCGATACAAGCAGTTCTTATGCGTTATATCTAGAATATTATTCCTATTTTCAAAAAAGGAGACAAAAGCAAAGGTGAAAACTATTGACCAGTTAGTATGTTGTGTTGTATTGCCAAGATATTTTAATCCCTACTTTATAACTATTTGTTCAATCATTTTAAGCCTACTATCTCAACTGGGCAACATGGTTTCGTAAAAATTAGGTCCACCATTAGTAACCTACTGGAATATAAAAATTATCTCTGCAAAATATTTGTTTTGGGAGGTCGAAACCATTTACACAGACTTTTCTAAGGCCTTTGACAAGGTTAGCCACAAACTACTCTTTCATAAATTAGCTTCACATGGTATTCATGGCTGCTTGTACCGTTGGGTTTGCTCGTATCTCAGCAATAGGAGCCAACTGGTGGCCTTAAGGGGCTTTGTATCGTCGTCAGTGTCCGTAACATCCGGTGTCCCGCAGGGATCACATTTGTGGCCCCTCTTATTCCTAATATGTATTTATTAATGATCTTTTTATTTTATTTTATTTTTATTGCCCTTGTAGGCAGACGAGCGTACGGCCCACCTGATGGTGAGTGGTTACCGTCGCCCATGGACTTCAGCAATGCCAGGGGCAGAGCCAAGCCGCTGCCACGTCTGCACTGTCAGTGTCTTCTATACGCTGATGATTTAAAAATCTTTAACCGTATCTCGACAATAGCCGACTGTGAAGCCTTGCAGCAGGATCTGGATACCGTATCGACTTGGTGCATCGAGAATCGTATGTTATTAAATACATATAAATAAATGTTTCATTGTGTCATTTACAAAGAAACGTAACAAAATAATATCTGATTACTCTATCAATGGACAGATACTGAACCGATACTATGAGGCTAGAGATCTTGGAATGATTTTTGACGACAAGCTTTCTTTTCGATCCCATTACCATTCCATTACCACTAGAGCTAACCAGCTTCTGTAGATCGATTAAGGGCATTAAGAGGCCGCAAAGTGCCCTTTATCTGTTTTTTACTATCGTGAGGAGTGTGTTAGAGTATAGAAGTCCGGTATGGTCTCCGTACTACAGAGTCTACAGCGACGATATCGAAAGGGTGCAGAAGAAGTTCCTAAGAATATTCGCCTATCGTCTGCGGCCAGGTCGTTTTGACATAAATTATGAATCCAGACTTGCTCTTTTCCATGTCCAATCTTTGGAAGCTCGCCGTAGGTATTTTGATTTAATATTTTTGTACAAAATTTTACACTCACATATAAATACCATGGAACTGCTGTCGAATATTTCTATCAACAGTCACTTCAGAGCCCGAAATTCGCATTATGTAAACCTCTTTGCGTTACGGACATATAAAAATAATATATTATACTATAACCCTATGGTAAGAATGGTCAGGCATTATAATAATTTGGCTAAATGTCACGGTAACCTTGATATCTTTGAACCTAGACTCAGGGGATTTGTCAAATGTGTGAAGGATATCCTATTTAACTCCTAGTTATCAATATTTATTTTGTAATTTCAATTGTGTTTTCAATAGCCAAAGTTATGCACATTAATATTGATTTGAGTGCACATACTATTTAGATTGCAATCCAGATTAGATCTAGGTACTACTTGTACGATTTAGCTAATTTGTTTTGTGCATCAATAAATAAAAAATAAAAAAAATCTTTCTGTACATGTGTGTGTGTGTGTGTGCATATGTATTACGAATAATGACCGTCGTCTGTCAGTAATGTTAAGCGATTGGTTGGCGAGATATATTGAGGACGGTGTGTGTTGTTGTCAGAGTGCGAGGAGGGTGAGGGGCGGCGTCGCGGCGGCATGGGGCTCGCGCGCGGGCCGCCGGCGGGATGGCGGTGAGCTGCCCCGAGGTGATGTACGGCGCCTACTATCCCTACCTGTACGGCCGCGGAGCCGCGCGCTCCTTCCACCACGCGCCGCACTTCCAGTACGATCGGGTAACTATCACCACCTCTACCGCCTCTACCGGCTCTACCGCCTGTACCGCCTTTGAGCACTAGCTACTTTACATTATAAAATTCCCTCACAACACATTTATACACTCACGCTCTAACTCTTTCTACGGTAGTAAGGAGCATATTTGGCCTTGTTCATCCAGTTGTAATACGGTTATGTTGTTAATGAAATTTGACAACAGTTCAATAAGCTTTGTGTCAAGTTAATAGAGAACAGAGAGTTTCGTGGAGATAAACCGAATATGATTGTGTTGTACATATTTTATGTATAATATAATAATTGTTTCTGCTTCCTTTCAGATTAGAAATAGTAGGCCTATGCTTAGGTTAGCTTTCTTTAAGATTTCAGGAAAGAAAATAATTAGAAAACCAGCTTAAGTTAATTCTATTTAGAGGCTATTCACGTCTAGGCTTGAAAGTAAAACTGGACCCGTGTTCTTGGGAGCCGGACAGTTGTGAGGAGCAGTTAGTTTTTATGACGCGAGATCCGGTCGCAGGCCATATATCACAGACGCAAAAACTCACAGCCAGTGTACCGGCTCTAGTACAGGGCTGCACCCTCCTGTGCGCGACCGACGGCCACCAGTCCGCCAGTCCAATATATGTATATCAATTATATAATTACCAGTACGTAGTGTACAATTTGATGTATTGTATGTATGTGACTGCTTCGGACGCTGAATTGCACGTGGCGTCAACGACATCGGCAGGCGGATTCAATATACATAATATGTGCTGTAACAACTTCAAATGACGGATCTGAACACACTACTCAGTTTAAATGAACACAAAATTGCTTACTTGAGATTAGAGTCCGGCTCTCATCATCATCAGGCCGCTGCGGCGGTGTCCACAGCGGCCTGTGCTCACAGCGCGCACTCCACTAGTACCTCATATTCAATGCGCAGGTGGAACCACCCCAGACTCTGATCTGAGAGACAGACCATGAAATAGACCGATACGATTTACCATCGTGTCTCATAGCAACGCGAGAGGGGTCCGTAGAGCTAGCAAGTATCAACTCTACGGAACCCTTCAAAACCTGCGGAACCATCTGGAGATATCGCGCATCGTACAACTAGGACGAGCGATATCTACTAACCATTCTATTTGGAACCATGGCGCTAATCTACAATGAGTTTCCAAACATATTTTTAACACGCACCGATTTGCTCTGGAATGATCTACCCTACCATCCTTGGTGTTTCCTGAGAAACAGAAAATAATTATACTTCTTTAAGCTATTAAAAATAAATGTTCTGTGGTAAGTAAATTAGTTGTGCCTCTCTCTGATATTGCTGGTGTCCACAAGCGTCGGGGCGCACACACTCTAAAGCGCGCCGGGTGGCCGGATATACGAGTCCATTATGAATCTCTGACGTACCACCTCCGTCACACATCCTATACGGTTCCGGGATTTTAGTGCAGCTTTCAAACAGTCGAGAATCGAATATTTAATACTAAGTAGGAAATAGTTTTGGTCGATAACCCTAAATGAAGTAGAGAGTAGAGATCGATCGGGTCGGGAGGCTGCGGCGGAGTCAACGACACGTCACTCCGCGCGCACATTAACATGCATGTTTCGTGTTCTCTGGTGTTCGTTCGTATCGCTGCATCGTCATACATTGCTGACTTTAATTAGTACTAATTAAACGAATGTAAGTTTAACAGAAGGAAACAAACGCGTATACATCATTACATATTATGTTAACGATATAATACGCACAGTGGTGTGCGTGCGGCGCTGCGGTGTGCGTTTCCACTGAAGTCTCAAGTTTTTATTAATGTTATTTTTAGTGCTTACAAGGTTGGACGAGCTCACAGCCCACCTGGCATTAACGTAAATGCGCCACACACCTTGAGATGTAAGTTCTAAGGTCTCAAGTATAGTTACAACGACTGCCCCACCTTTCAAACCGAAACGCATTACTGCTTCACGGCAGAAATAGGCGGGGTGGTGGTGCCTACTCGTGCGGACTCACAAGAGGTGTGATAACCACCAGTAATTACGTAAATGATAATTTTGGGGGTTTGATTTTTTCCACGATGTTATTCCTCCACCGTGGAAGTCGATCGTGAACATTAGTCGAGTCCGTATTTCATTAGAAAAATTGGTACCCGCCTGCGGGATTCGAATACCGTTGCATTGCTAGATACGAATGCACGGGACGTGTTATCCTTTAGGCCACGACGACTTCAACGACGACTAGGTATATCTCTCATCGACTCATATCTATTTGGATGTGATGCTGATGCGCTCGGAGCGTCCTTAGCATTCAACACTTGGGTGTAAACTGACATTGATGACCTTATTTATTTCCTAGTCATCCTAAATAAATAGCTTACTGGTGAGGTACAGGCAGCTATGGTCTGTATCGCAACCTCAGGCTAGCTCGAGCGGGGGTGCAAAGTTTCATGCAATATTTCACCGGCGCCTTAAGCTACTTATATTATTTACCTACAATGTTGCCCATCAAATAAAAAATGTGCATTTAATGCTTTTACACCAAATCTATAAGGTAATGTCGTAATGCTTGCTTGTAAACACAAGAGCGACTTTTAGAATTTAGCTATATTCCAGTACCAAGCGAAGATTCATTGATATGACGTTTCCAGACAGAGTTTCCGTTAATAGCAGTCTAATTAATTTACATTTAAGCCTTCCGCTCCCCTCTCTGCCCCTCCTTCGTCCTATCTCCATCTCGCTCCTTTTTCTGAAGTAAGTTATTTTAACCCTCGTTTACTATCAATCACACCCATCAACATAACAATTCACCCCCACCCCGCCGACTTCCACCCCCGATAAGCAAAAGTTGCTTTAGTGACCGTTACCATGAAAACCGTCGCCACGGTAATAGTGTAGAAGTTGTGCCTTTCTTGTTTTTTAGATTTTAGTATGTAGTCAGAACACCAATGTCGGGCAGTGTTAGCGTCAAGTCGATTATTAGTGGGCGCCGGCACCGCTCGAGACTTTTGGAGGAGCTTCGGAGATCTCGTGACGAAGATTTCAGTACTTATAATATATCAATCATAAAATTGTGGTAAACATTTGAATGGACTTAATATACTTAGTCTGGCCATAAATACTGTTACAATTAAAAATAAACAAAATATGACATTTGAATTTGGAATCTGTCATTTTTATATGATTGCTCATTGAGTTTTCTCGTTTTGGCGCCAATACATTGTACAATATTTTGCAAAATTAAAATGGAGTGGGGTGATAAAGAGAACCGAATCGCTGTGATTGCATTACACAAAGTAGGTATGGAGCCAAATGCAATTTTTAAAACTCTCCATACGCTTGGTATTAGAAAAATGTTTGTGTACCGGGCTATTAATAGGTGCAATGAGACCTCCTCTGTTTGTGACAGAAAAAGATCTGGCCGCCCACGTAGTGTTCGTACGAAAATGGTGGTCAAAGCAGTAAGGGAAAGNAGAACCGAATCGCTGTGATTGCATTACACAAAGTAGGTATGGAGCCAAATGCAATTTTTAAAACTCTCCATACGCTTGGTATTAGAAAAATGTTTGTGTACCGGGCTATTAATAGGTGCAATGAGACCTCCTCTGTTTGTGACAGAAAAAGATCTGGCCGCCCACGTAGTGTTCGTACGAAAATGGTGGTCAAAGCAGTAAGGGAAAGAATTCCAAGAAATTCTGTCCGAAAGCAAAAGATTTTATCTCGGGAGATGAAAATAGCACCTAGAACCATGTCGCGTATTTTAAAAGTACGTACTGGTCATTTCTTAACTGATAATATAAAAGAGAATAGGGTGGTAAAATCGAAACACTACTGAAGCGGTACGCAAAGGGAGGTCATAGAAAATTTTTGTTTACGGATGAGAAATTTTTTACAATTGAGCAACATTTTAACAAACAATATGACCGTATTTATGCTCAAAGCTCTAAGGAAGCTTCCCAATTAGCCAACAGAGTGCAACGTGGGCTTCTCAACTTCAGTGATGGTTTTGTGGGGTATTAGCTATGAAGGAGTGACTGAGCCATACTTTTGTGAAAAAGGTATCAAAACATCGGCACAAGTGTATCAAGATACCATTCTTGAGTAGGTAGTGAAGCCCCTTAACAACACCATGTTCAATAATCAAGAATGGTCCTTCCAGCAAGACTCGGCGCCAGGTCATAAACCTCGGTCTACGCAGTCTTGGTTGGAAACGAACGTTTCGGACTTCATCAGAGCTGAAGACTGGCCGTCGTCTAGTCCCGATCTTAATCCGCTGGATTATGATTTATGATCAGTTTTAGAGAGTACGGCTTGCTCTAAAATCCATGATAATTTGGAGTCCCTAAAACAATCCGTACGATTGGCAGTGAAAATTTTTCACATGGAAAGAGTGCGTGCTTCTATTGATAACTGGCCTCAACGTTTAAAGGACGTATTGCAGCCAATGGAGACCACTTCGAATAAGCTTTTTATACTTTAAGTTCTTTTATATTTATGTATTAAACTAACAAGTAATAAATGTTATTTGCAATAGAATTTTTTTATTTTTTATTGTAACAGTATTTATGGCCAGACTAAGTATAATAAAAGCTAACGACGCCCAATCCGAAAGATTAATGGCGGCTACTTGATTATTTCAATGGTTGTTTCATGTATGTACGTGTGTTCTCGTACGCATTGTATATGAGTCGACTATTATCAAAGCCGGCAATCTGACTTTTGGATAATTATTGGTAAATCAGAAAAACGAATTATTGACTTTGTATTCCATTGGCAGTCACAAAACTCTTCGGAACGACGTCTTAGATAAATAACAGGTTAAGTATTAACCTTTATTTAATGCAGGTTTTGAACCGCATTCTTTGAAGGAGACGATTATATTCAAATCAATCTGTATTGACATATCAATAACATTTTTTTGTCCAAATGCACAGATTGCCACCTTTGATAATAGACGACTCATATGTTTGGTGTCGTCTAATGGAGAGGTGTCGTGTGTTGGTACAGTTGAACGTGCAGAGCGGCGGCGTCAATGCGGGCAGCAGCGAGGCGTTCGTGTCGGGGGCGCAGTCCCCGGGCTCTCCGCCGCACGCGCTCCCGGCGCACCGTCTGCGCACCAAGGAGGAGGATCTCTCTGCACACGGCCGAGCCAGCGCTGACGGTAACTGCTCTCTCACGCTCCCTTCAGCCTGCAGTTTGAACACCGAGGGAAGCTTACATTCAAAAAAGCTTTTGTTTCGCAAACATTTCGATTGTCATTTTACATCTCACTTTGAGAAGGTGGCACGACACGAAAACCCTCTTATCGAGGCCGCCGGAAATTACATAACCGATCCTGTGGACCGAATGGTAAGCATTCGACGTTGCCCGTCTTTATGGATCCTCCCGATCCATTAACGGTGCTTTTAGGTACCTCAAGCACCGGTCACGGTCCTCGCTTGCGTGTGAACCCGTCACTTGCGACGAAGGGCTCGACGAGTAAATTAACCCATAGACACAGCCCACTCAGTTTCTCGCCGGATCTTCTCTGTGAGGTACTGACTGAGGATATTGAGACTCTGAAGGCACGCGCACATCAGCCGCGGCCGTGTGTTCGTCTATCAATGAATATCCACTGAAGGATACAAGGTTGAAGCACGTGTGAGGTAGTTGGTGTTGTCCAGGAGGCGGTTCGTCCGAGTCGGAGGGCGAGTGCGGCGGCGCGGGTCCGCGAGCGCGCGCGCAGTACGTCAGCGCCAACTGCGTCGTGTTCACGCACTACTCCGGGGACGTCGCCGCGGTCGTCGACGAGCACTTCGCCAGGGCGCTCTCGCTCGACAAGACTAAAGGTCAATCAATACGCACTGTCTACTCACACTCACTCACGCCAACACTCACACACCGCCAAACTGCATCATACAGTGTCGTGGAGGTTGTCTGTTCAAATAGATGAGCGGGCACTTCAGAGAACTGTTCAATTAACAAGTAAATTTGTTGATTTCATATTTATTGCTTGTCATTCATAACATAGGTTCATATTAATTAAAAGTCAGAGAACGGATAAAGCTCTAGTTTCATTTGTTGTTAGAGTATAAGGACAGATTACAAGCTGTATTGTATAAATGCTGTATTGAGCACGGAAATATTATTCACGTTTGCTCTGAGTGATCGGAAACATAGAATCGAGACGTGTCGCCGCGTATTAACATTCTCTAGGAACGTAACGAGACAAAGGGCGCGCAGTGTACGCGCAGCGGCCGGCCATGTAGCCACAACAAATCAATATGCAATTAAAATAGCTAACAAGTTTGTAACGATCGGTAACGGAGCTGGCGCGGCGGGGCAGGGCGCGGCGGGGCGGGGCGCGGTGCGCTCCTAACTCGGCGGTGTACTGCTTGCTGATTCACTTGCGCGCCCTCATTAAGGAAAATAATAGAAAAAACGCCTTTAAGGTCGCATACATCGACTGAACTTTATCGTTCACACACACGTTCACACACTCAATCGTAAACACGCACAAATTACGCGGCTAATTAAATAGGTACCTACTTGTTTTTACGATATTCAGGATATTATGTTTATAAATCTATACGCGTCACTTGTGCTGAGTGAATAATTTCGTGCCCGTTTCATCGTTGCGGGTAATGTTCCTCTAGCAGTCCTCAGCCGTAGTTTGTTCGACCGGGTGGGTTCAGTAGAACATACAGAACAGTTAATGGCACGACCGGCGCGGCGGCGCGGCGCTTACAAAGCGGTGGTGGCGGGCGGCGCACTGCGGCTAGCGGGAGGCTGCTCAGTGCTCACCGTCGCGTCGCTAGATAAATCAGAGGTCGCCGCTCTGGCTTAATTAAACCCCTTGTTTAATTATAAACTAGAAGGGGCTCCCCTAGTGCCGGGTCGACTCCACTACTGCACTCGCCGATCCGCCGCGCACACTTCATTTGCTCGCTTATTATCGGCCGTCGGCTCCAGGGAGATGAACTAATCGTTTCAGGGAATTCCAATATTCGTTTGATCGTGACGATGCGACCGGTTCGATACTTGAATTTATAAATAACTAAAAAGTAGGGCGAATTATAGATTCGAAGCAGGCTCGGGGCGCGCTCGTTCGTTCGCGATTAGATCGGAAAAACTTGGACGATTACTTAAAGGATGGCCGAAAGCAGGCGCGCTGCAAAAACGGTCGAGGCCGCTTTGTGGTCGCCGCCTGTGACGCGCCTCCACACCAGCGCCGCCGCTATTTACATTATCACTCGCTTCATCGCACACTGACCACACTCACGACACTCACGACGCACACACAGACGACAGGGTCGAGACTCGCGATCGTCATCCTCTTCAATATGCGATCATTTATCTTACCTTACATCCTTACATCTATCTTAAAAATAAACTTATATGTTAATCTAACAATGTGTGAACGCGTTTTGAATATGAGCTTAAGAATAGAAATATTGAAGAAATTATTATTTCATTTGACGCGGAGATGAGTATGCGGCCCATCTGATGTTAAGTGGTACAAGAAGTCGAAATCTCAGTTGTATCACGAAAGAAATGAACAATAATAAATAATAATCTCAATGAAGTCTTCGTGGCCTAAAGGATCGTTCGGTACATTCGTATCTAGCGATGCACCGGTGTTCGAATCCCGCAGGCGGGTACCAATTTTTCTAATGAAATACGTACTTGACAAATGCTCACGATTGACTTCCGTGGCGAAGGAATAAAATCACGTAACAAAAATCGAACCCTCATAATTATAATTTGCATAATTACTGTTGATAGGACGTCTTGTGAGTCCGCATGGGTAGGTACCACCACCCAGCCTATTTCTGCCGTGAAGCAGTAATGCGTTTCGGCTTGAAGGGTGGGGCAGCTGTTGTAACTATACCGACATCTTAGAACTCATATCTCCAGGTGGGTGGCGCATTTACGTCGTAGATGTCTATGGGCTCCAGTAACCTCTTAACAGCAGGTGGGCTGTGTGCTCGTCCACCCATCTAAGCAATAAAAAATATATCCGTGAATATCCGTGTCCTATTTAGGTCAGGGTCAGCTGGTATACTTGTATGGAATTATAAGATTATACTTGACTTCAAATCCCAATGCACGCTCTGTTGAAGGGTAGACAGTACCCACATTTTTCCACGATGAAGAGAAAACATTGTTCAATAAAAATAAAACTCCCTTGTCCGCCCGGCCTACTTATTACTTACATAATATCTGAATTTGTAAACAGTTGCAGGTTGTTGTACATTCTAAGGTATCCAACATCGATTTTTTTATTGTGTAGGTTCAATATTAATGCAATAATGTCAACGATTCAGTTGGAACCAATGTAGTTGGTAGGTGCATCATTAATCAGGACAACAGGTCCTCCTCGAGGATCGAACCCCTTCCTTGATGTGTATGTTTCAATTTATTCCATGACCGTGCGTTCATATTGGTTTGAAGAAAAATTATAATCAAACAGCCACGAGGGTTTTCATAGATCTTATAATATATGTAGAAAGTAGACAATCCACTCCATCGTAACGAGCAGTCTGCATACTTCGTGTCAAGTCTACGGGAAGCCTTAGAACAATCTAGTGGTCGATTTAGTAATATCAGAGAAGTCGAAAAATCAGAGGATCTGTAAGAGTATGCGGTGATGTGGCGGGAAGGGCGCGCCGAGCCGCTCGACTGCATTCCTGCTTCGGAGCTTAAGAATTTGCTCGCGACCGCCGGTTTTTCTAAAACAGTAATGTCCACCGAATATCGAATACAGGAGAACACGCTGAGCTCCACAAACGTTTCGTAGACACAGACACATGCAACATTACAAATATCTATTCATATTCGTTTTAAAAACAAAACGTCAACGATTCACGTGGAATAATTAAATAGATTCTATTTAATTAATCTGATGTGAAAATGTCTCACTTTGCATGTCCGAGTAATGTCGAGTAATAAAGTTGACACTGCAGGCTTGCCGCTTAAAGCTTGGCACGTGTTCTTCGCTCGTGCCGCCAAGCTTCTGGTAGTGCGCAGGCTCTAATACTCCTTCCGGTGCGCGCTGCAAGGCAATATGCAATACTTGTACACCGAGTGTAATAAGGTTCAAATATTGTTGGCGTTGTAAACTACCTAGTCTGTAGAGCTGTGGGATATTCGCTGCAGTCAGGAGAGCGCGGGAGAACAGACCACGGCATGACCAATCTCATGCTAGTTTATTATATACTATATTTATTATTATTAGCTTTATTAACTATATTATTAACTATTATTAACTATATTATTATTAGGCAGTAGCTGGCTTGGCTATGTCAGAGATATTATGAAATTTCAAGTGCGAAGGTAACCACCGCTACTGGTTCTCATTACATATAGAGGGTAGCACACAATGAAATACGTCGCGGCTGTTTCTGTTGTGAACACCGACATCCAGTAGCGAATCTACCACTAGGCTGAGTAGGCTCAAGCATAGGGCACTAGAATTTAGGGATGGTTGATTTGAAATAATTTTATTTTTAAATTCATATTTATACCTAAGTGCTAGATTCACACAACCAATTTACCACGTAATAGGTTTCAACACTTGATAATTTTTGTGAGCTAGCGTATCGCATTGTAGGCCGGCACCCCTGCATAACTAGACCGGCTCACCGGCGCGGCGGGCACAGGCGCTATGCCTGCTATTGAAATGAGACTCGCACTTTATCCAACCATATAATTTGATCGGTGCAAGCTTAACAAGACTCACGAAATACCATTCTAAATTATGTTTTTTGTAAAATAAATTTTAGTCCAACTGGTGTTGAACGGTTATACGCAAGATGCTTGTTTTCCCATAAAACGGAGATGCACGGCTGCTTCTCGGTCGAACAAGGTAGGGTTTCCACACGTGCCTGTGTGTATAATGGGGCCTGCGACTACTCAAATTGGGCAGAAATTGAGGGTGAATTTATGTTCGCAGGAAGTAAGATTTGCTGAGTAGGAAATAGGAACAGTCGACCCATCTGGTGTTAAGTGGTTACCAGAGCCTAGAAATCAGAGAGATCACAGCGTGAATGCGGCCACCCGCCCTGAGACACAAGGGCGAAGTCTTAATTGATTTGCATAACGGCAGTTCCAGACTTCTAAGCGGAAAGTGCGACTGCTTCGCACCAGAGACAGGCAGGTTCATGGTACTTACCCATGCGAGCTTAATGTATTACCTACTACAGGTATTACCTACATCAATGGTGGTCACAATATATTGGTAACACTAAGAGAACGCTGCTCTCTGTATTTATTAAACCAGCAGCAATTGCCAAAATTTAACTTTGAGACTTTTATTTTACTACACGATGTCATCGCGGCTGTTGTTCGTGAACTGCGCTAAGAGCGTATTTCCTTAGACAACATTGTATACCGGCATAGCCGCATCGCTGGACCCCAGTACACAGGCGTCTTGTCCAGATCACGGTTCCAAATTTATAGGCTAGTCTCACTAGTGGGCCCATACGCATCTCCCACACGTATTCTTCTTAATCATTAAGTTGTGTAGACGCGGTCCTTAAGTAAATTTTGAAAATTTACTTAAGGACCGCGGGATAAAGGATTACCGTTGCTGGTAAACATCAGCGACACCAGAGGTGCGGTCATTTTTAAAACACGTTTGAAGAAAAACATATGGTACATACTTATGTCAAGCAAATAAAATAACAAAGCGCTCGACAAACCTTGTTAACAGCTGCTTATTAGTGATAGTAGAATAACAGCAGTAGGGTGTGACATGACGTGTGATGCTATGTTTGGTTGAGTCGTTGAGACGCGGACGCGTGTGATGCAGACGGCGTCCCGATGGTGTCGCGCAACCTGCCCGCGTCGTTCTTCAACGCGGCGGCGGTGGGCGGCGCGGGCGGCGTGGAGCTGTACGAGTACGACCCGTGGCACCAGCACTACTCCGGCTACGGACACGCGGCGCACCGCCACGCCGCCGAGTACCACGCGGCCGCCCAGGCGCACCACAACATGGCGGCGGCGGCGGGCTACGGGCCGCTGCTGCTGCCCCGCGGCTCTCTGCACGCGCAGTACAAGCCGGTGGAGTGGGGCGCACAGCACCACGCGGCGCACCACCTCGACCCCGCCGCGTGCTCGCCCTACTCTTATCCCGCAGTACCAGGTCAGTATGCACCGCACCTATCGTCCTCAAACAGTTAGGCCTTCCTTCACGTCGGAACACGCGGTACATCACTGTACGGTGTAGTTACTGCCGCATCATGGCTTCCGTCATTGCTGAGAAGCGAACTCTTATAATGCCTATGAGCTAGTTCTATCTTCTATCGCAGTCCCGTTCGATACAATATCTGTGAGGACGATTAAAGAGCATATAAGATTAAAGAGTATAGATAGAAGATAATAAATAACTTCGTTTTTGTGGATTAATGTTATTAAATATTTCCACCGCGCTCGGAATTTCGGCATCGGAATACTTTTCCATCAAACGGCACGACTCCGGTACTATATTAACGTTTGATTATTCATATTTCACTAAAATTATTTGATGCAGAAACAAATCATTTATTTCAGAACTAGTATGTTTGGATAGTTCTGTGAGACTGTAAATTTATAGAACAGGTCTACAATTAACATTCCTATAACTCATTGAATGAAAGCTAATGTAGAAGTCGGGTTGACATCGCATCGTGTAAACGGAGCGCGGTGTGTATTTTAATTTTCAAAGAGATTCCGGCGGCGCAGCGCGGATGTTTTAATTGTGATGATTTAAACGTTTTACCGTAGAGCGACAACACAAAGCGCTCCCTCCACTCGCTCCCGCCTGTGTCGTATCTTGTCGTGTCGCGTGTCGTCTAGTGTCAACTTAGAGATGCAGATTGCGATAAGGTAGCAAATGCAACTTCAACAGATCGATACCATTTGAAAGTCTTCCAACTATTGTCAGCGTAGAGCAGGTGTGAGGTGTGAATTGTAAAGTGAGTTGTTTTGATTTCCAAGCATTAGGCAAAGTTCACAGATAAGAGACAGGAGCAGTCGATGGTGCTTGTGGGCGAGGCCGACGAAGACCTACCTACCTACCGCCATTATTTGGGTATCGGTCTCTGTCTAAAAATATACTTAAAACATCTGAATTTAATTTAGGTCCTACTGTTCGCTAGCGTTAAAGTCGTATTTCGTGTAATTTTGTTTGTTGATGTGATTATTTATTTATTTATTCAACTATTCACACTTCATTGCACTTAAGATGAGATAAATTACTAACGTTAATAGATAGTGTTATCTCGCTAACATTGATTTCTTTCTGATAACAGATAATGTAAAAATACACAATATGCAATACGCAATATGAAATACTAATAGCAAGTGATTTATTCCCGAACACAAATTAGAATACAATTTGGAGGTGCGCGCGAGTTGCGTCTCAGTTCTCGGTCAATTAATAAACTAAATACAATATATACCTACTCGTATTAAAATGTGCTCATTTTTCTCTTCGCTTAAATATTATCATTTATTAATTTGCTTAACAGTGAAGATAAACAAATACGTTCATTATAATGACATAATATTTATATGAAATTATAAACTCATTTAAAATGCTATTACTATACATCTACCTATTTATATGAACTTTGTATCGAAAATTGCGCGAACGGAGGAGTATGAAATTTCTCATATTTATAAAGAATATAGAGGAGTGCAGAATGTTAATATTTTTTAAAATTATGCCTAAAAATACATTAAATCAAGAAAAAAACATTACACACACTACCATGTATTTGACGCACACACACATGCATACTATTTATTTATTGTCAAACTTTTGTTCTTGACGTCTGTTGTCAAATTGAGAATAGATTAAATATTGTTTGTCTTTGTTAATATTTTTTATAGTGTCGTCTTGGCGAAATTTGTGATTATAGAAGTATAATAGTCTTTGAAAATATAATAATAATAGTGTACAAACTTACAATTTCAATTAATTATAGTTGAATTTCGACTACTGCGGGGGACCACTAGTAAATATAAATATACTATACATATATCTTTGTAGGTTGTGGCACAGAAACAAATTTTTAATACTCTTTTATAAGCCTCATATGTACATAGTATGTGTGTGTGTGTGTTTGTTTATTTGTATGTAACGGAATCATTTCACGTCTTTTTCATCAACTTCAGGACGTCCGATTAATTTGAAAATTAGCACACGGATCATAGACCGATGACAATACAATAATTCTATAATTTCGCTCTAATATCCTAACCAGTATCAAGAAGATAAAAAAAAAGATGAAATTAATTAATTGTTAGTTCGATTTGCTATTTAACCGTGTTTTTTTAGATTTCAATTGTATATATTATATATTTCTGTTTTTTTACAATGCAGTACAAACAAATATGAAAAAAATGGAGTACTAGTAGGTATGTAGGCGGCGGCGGCGGCGGGTGCCTCCATCGTGCGGCCCGTGGGCCGGTGCCGCCGCGGCACTCTCACGGCCGCCACAAAAACATTGCGTGATTTGTGGATACAGTGTGCATTTAGATTCGCTTCTAAGGATAGGTGTAATTGCGGTGCGGATGGGAAGCGATTATGAGCCGCCCGGTGACGGGTAAAAAGCGCGGCGAGTTGAAAGGCCGCCCTCGCCCCTCGCCCCGCGCCCCGCGCCCCGTGCCCTAATGACGACCATTAAAATTAATTTCCGCGCCGGCGGCCCCGCTCCTCGCAAATTAAATTCTTCGAGTGCGATGCGAGCTCCCGCCTTTGTCTTCCGATCTCTCCCGCGAGCTTGATTGATAACATTAAGAGCTCCTCGCGGGGGAGAGCCTTCGAGACTCACAGTTCACTAGGAGACCTAGTCCGTCTGATGATTGCCTTCGAGCAATATTTGTAATATTTCTAAACCCAAACTGGTTATTCAATTCAGTTGCAGTCGACATGAGTGCGGTCCCAAATATTCCCATTATACGTTTAGTGCGAGTTATTGTAGTACAGGACAAGCCAGGGGCACGTCACATCAAAGGGCGGGTCCGCTGTCCCCGGCGCATTCCTCGGGCCCCGGAGGGGACCGGAGGGACAAATTGCTTTATTGACAAATACCAGTGGGTCCGCCATAACGTGGTGACGTCACGGCACGACCCTCGCACTGTCCACGTACTACACACGCCAACGATCCTACGCACACTTGCATGTGTAGGTACCTACTGAGTTTAGGTACACTTCACGATGGTTCACTATCCGTCTGAGCGTTGTTTACCGGAGCAGAAAGATTACTCTTTTTGTAAACATATTTGTTATATTAAAAAACAACAAATTAAATAAATTAAATAATTTTAGTATACTTGGTGACCGTCTTCTAAGGAAGGCGTCAGTTGTCATGGGTGCGTCAGATGCAAGATGGGTTCCAAAAATGTTCACGCCACTTCAACAACGCCACCGTGTCGAGTGTTCTTGTCAGTTTTTGAAGCTCTGTGGAGAGATAATGGAAGAAGTTATGGACCAGATCGTTACTGGAGATGAAACCTGGGTTCACCACTATGAACCTGAGTCGATGCAGTGGCATAAAAAAGGCACACCTTCACCAAAGGAGTTCAAAGTGGCACAATCAGCCGGAAAGATCCAGGCAACTGTCTTTTGGGATATAAAAGGAATTTTACTGATTGATTATAAAGAACGTGTTGTTACTATAACGCGACAGTACTACGCTTCTTTACTGGAAAGATTGAAAGAAGCCATCAAGGAAAAAAGAAAAGGAAAACTGTCAAAAGGTTGTGCTTCTTTTGCACGACAACGCACCTGTTCACACGGCCCGTGTTGCGACGGCTGCCATTCACCGTTGTGGATTCGAATTATTGAATCACCTCCTAAAGTCAGTACCATCTACAGTCCAGACTTGGCTCCTAGTGACTATTATTTATTTCCAAAAATTAAGAAAGACCTGCGTGGGAAGAAATTTGACGACAATGAAGAAGTCGAATCGGCAATTTCGGCCTATTGTGATACAAAAGACAAATATATATTTTTTTACGGTATAAACAAATTATTTGCGAGATCCAAAAAATGAATTGGATTTAAGGGAAAATATACTGAGAAGAAATAATAGTTTGGAGTTTAATCTCAACTTCCTTCCCTCTTATTCTACGAACTTTTTGACCTCCCCTCATACGAGAAGAAAAGGTTTAAGGTTTAGTTTAGTCAATTAAAAAAGTAGGCGACTTACACGTGAGATAATTAGTTTCATTTTTATGCTTCATTGTGTTTCCTTTGTTAGTGACAATCGCGATTTTGCAGTAAATTTATTTCAGCACATTTTACCGACTTACATTTTGTAAACATTCCCATTTTGTTAGTTCGGAGCGCGCGGCCACTCACAACGAGCGAATGCGTTGATACCTACGTTAAATAGAGTTTTGGCCTACCTCATGGCCTACCTGGTGTTAAGTGATCACCGGGGCCCCTAGGCGTTAAAACATGGATATGACGCCCGTCGTTAGTAACAGGGTCGTAATGTGCGCCAGCCAGGTTGCAATTGTCCCTCCCACCAGTTTAACTCTGCGCGCAATAACATTTACACGTAACTGTTTTTTGGTTCAAATTTTACCACATAACTCCTTCGTCGCAGAATTCATCTGCGAACATATTTTGTTAAGCATGTACATATTTCATTAGGCAAAATGTCCTGACCCGACCATCGTCCTTCCGTCCACTTCGACGAGTGAACTAACCCACAGACCTACTGAGTTTCTCGGATCTTCTCACTGCGTCGCGAATCAGATCCGGTGGTAGACTCTGCGAAGTACCTACTGCATTTGCTAGGGCTAGTGGTTAGCAAATTCTTTGAGGTTGAGCCCGTGAGATCACCCACCGGTCCGCGCGTCGCTGGAATACTTGTACTTTGAGCTGGTACTTGTCCGCGGGAACTTTGCTGGTGTCCTCGCTCTGGTGTACGAGCTCTCTGCTGAGCACAAGTACGCCGAAGTTCTCATACAAACAATATCTTCAAATTTGAGGAATCCAAATTGATTACAAATACTAAATTTAAATAGGTAGGTACATTTAAAATCACACCTCGGGTAAATTTTAAATTATATATCCTCGATGTGTATTATATTTTCCAAAGATAGTCATAGTTTACGACAACTTTATCTTTCCATATACTCTAAATATTTTATTTGATACCAATGCTACAATATCTTTTGCAAAAATGCTCGAGAAAGTGTGCTATAAGGACATCGATAGAGCATCGCGACAGATCAATTAAACCTTCTGAAATCGAAAGAGTAACACGCGGCTCAGTTCGGGACACTCCTTTCTTGATCAGTAACTAACTAGGGGAGTACTGTAATCTCTAAAGTTTGTCTTTTCAAACAAACAAAACAAATAAAGCATGCCTCTTGTCTAATTTGCTGCTCGGTGCGTTATCGGGTCCCGATTACCAGGCTGTCAGCGCAACAAGGCGGTGGGCAGAGACCTTGTGATGGCCGGCGAGGGGCGGGCCCGGTCTCGTCCAATCACAGTGCGCTGACCAGTGCCCCCCTCGGTCCCTGCCCCTCGCCCCGATCGATACCTTCGTGCGTCCGTCGCGCCGGTCAGAGTTACCTCTCCTTCAATGCTCCGCGCCGAGTACACGGCGCCCGCGACCAGCTAACATCGCTCTGCTATAGTCGCACAACTATTGTTTAACTATGTACCTGTAGCTATATAAAAATATGAAACACATTTGGACCGAAGGCAGATAAAGACGACTATATATCTACAATTCTAATTGAACACTTCAAATTGTAATTAGTTCTCATATTTTTTATGAAGGATCGTTTTACAAGAACAATTCTTAAATAACACATACTAAACTGTTTGTATGTCCACTCAACCCCATAAGTTTACGTCGGTACGTAACCTTTCACTCGCATAACACGTTTTTTGTTGCCTTTGTAGGCAGATGAGTACAAGGCCCATCTGATGGCAAGTAGGTATGTATCGTCGCTCATGGACATCAGCAAAGTCAGGAGCCAACCAAGTCGCTGCCTACCAGGAAACTATGAACCTTCGTATAAACGTATATGAAACTCCGCCAGTATCAAAAGACAGCAGAAATGATTAGGAATACTGTTTTTCTCCGTAGCAAGCCAAGCAACCCTTCGTTTAGATTTGGAAGGGTAAGACAGCTTGTGCCCAGACGGGCGGGGCTGTGGCAAACACGACGTGTGACGAACAGATTTATTTATTCATAGTGTGGGTGTTCTGTATGTACCTAATACTCGTGTGTCATGTACCTACCTATAGTAAGTACGTATGTGCATACTCGTATATAAGAGTATCTGGTTCATGTTGTCCAGGGAACCCTAGTGTTGGAAAACGGGACCGTGTCAGACATGTCCTCTATTATTTATTTATTTATTATTTATGAACACTTAGCATCAGGTGGGCTCTTATCAACACATGTAATGCAATAAAAAATCTTGGTTGGCAAATATCTACACTCATTGTCTGTTTTGTGAGTTCGCTCTATAATCGTGACCGCACTAAGCTGTTATTGGATCGAACCACGACTTTACAACACACACACACAAACACATTGAGTAGCTGCAATACGTAAGACGTCTTTTATCTGTTGGGCCACGGACGCTTCAAGTGCATAACCAACTAGCACTCCTTACTTTGTAGTTAAATTATAAATCACGTGGCTCATTAATTTTTTTGCCATACCTAAGGGACAAACATAAATATACATAATATTATCTTAATCTATGTGTAAGATTTTAGGAGTCGTCGTGGTCTAAATGATAAGCAGTTCGGCCGGTGTACCTGCTTGTACAATGTAGATATGTAGCTACTTGTAGCGCGCGATGCGATTGTGTCGGTGCTCGTGTCCCGCCCCACTTCGATAAAGCGGCACGACACGAGAATCATCTCATTGTGGCCGCCGGAAACTACATAGCCGATCCTGCGGACCAAATGGTAAACAGTCGACGTCACCCAAAACACGTCATTTTGGATCCTTCCGATCCACTAACGGTGCTTTTAGGTATCCCAAGAACCGGTCATCGTTCTCGTCGAACCCGTCGTTTGCGACGAAGGACTCGACGAGTAAATTAACCCACAGACACAGCCCCCTGAGTTTCTCGCCGGATCTTATCAGTGGGTCGCGTTTCCGATCCGGTGGTAGATTCTGCGAAGCACGGCTCTTGATAAGGTTCGTGTTAGCAACATCGTCAGGTTTGAGCCCCGTGAGCTCACCTACTAGTTAAGGTTACGCTGATATGGTCTCTCTAAAACATCAGCTTAAGTAGGAAAAAAAAAGTGTCCCGCAAGCAGTTACTTACTTATTTTTGCAATGTAGGTACTCAACACATGATTACACATGACTGCCACGATGAAGGACTGATATGTCAATTTGCAATTGAGACAATAAACCTCAAGTCTTAAGGTGGGTGGCGCCATTCACTGTGCGATGTCTATGGATTTAGATAACCACTTAACACCAGGTGGGCCATGAGCTCGTTCGCCCATCTAATCTAGTAATAAAAAAATATATTTATGAAAATAATGAAAGCAATGAATATAATAAATAGGAATGTCACATTCGATGTTGGATTCCAATATTTGATGCTGTTTTTACAAAATCATAATAATACATATATTAGAGACGGAGTCGGATCTGTAGACCTCGTTAGTGTAGAGTTGTGTTGCACAGAAATAAGTAANAGCTCGTTCGCCCATCTAATCTAGTAATAAAAAAATATATTTATGAAAATAATGAAAGCAATGAATATAATAAATAGGAATGTCACATTCGATGTTGGATTCCAATATTTGATGCTGTTTTTACAAAATCATAATAATACATATATTAGAGACGGAGTCGGATCTGTAGACCTCGTTAGTGTAGAGTTGTGTTGCACAGAAATAAGTAAATAAACCTTTATATATGTATAAATGTACCAAAATGAGTGCGGAGACACGCCGAGGTCAGAGATCAGACGGAGATGAGATCGGAGCGGCGATACGATCCGACAACCATTTATAACAATCAAGCGACGCGCCGCGACGCGACGCTCTAATAAATGATCATTACGGCCGTAAAAAATCCCTTCTGTCAAACTCGATTTTAAAGTGCACATAAATCACAAAACGGGAACAACCGCTCGACCATTGTTCAGGGCCCGTGCGGTGTATAAATACACGTGTTCGTACTACACACGTGCACGTAGCCCGCCGCCCCGGCCTGCCGCGGATGTCTCCAGAGCGCTACACACGACGCACGGCGTCCTCACTGTGCTTCGAATGTAAAACTGTCTGTACTCTGTTATTGCCGCTAACTGTGACCTGACAGCACCCAGCCTCATGGTCGAGTTAATGTCTGTATTTCGGACTGCTCCGTGAGTGGTGGTACAGAGCAGAGCACGACCATTGTCCTGTCGAGCTGAGGGTCAGGCAGCGCCGGGCGGCGGGTTCGTTAGCCTTACGATACAGATCAGCCGCGCCGCTGTCGAGGGCCCGTGTGATTCGGTAAACGGCTCTATAAAACATCTGGGCCTTGTCACGCAACGTGATGCCTCCGCCGGTCATTTTATTAATTCCGTGCGTCGGCTGCGATGCGTTGTCGTTACACTGATAGGTACGGTGACTCGAATCAAACTCCACCGATAGTCACTACCGAAACCGTTTCTGAAGCGAGTGCCCGCATACAGCACACAGCACACAGCACACAGCACGCGGACCGCGGAGGACGGATATCTCCCAACGCTCGATGCAGAGTTGTGCTGCGGCGCCTCTCTTAACTTTATCTGAACATAGCGACCCGCCCTCGCTTCGCTTCGGAAACATTAAAACACACATGAAACAAAAAAATAAAATAAAAAAAGTAGCCTATGTTCATCAGGGACAATGTCGGCTTCTAATGGAAAAAGAATTTTTCAAATCGGTCCAGTAGTTTCGGAGCCTATTCGAAACAAACAAACAAACAAATCTTTCCTCTTTATAATATTAGTATAGATTTATTGAAGTGTACATTTATATGGTTATATTGTTTTATGCTTATGAGGTTAACGTGTTATCTGTTGTTTGCATCAGGTCTGGAAGCGCAGGTGCAGGACACGTCCAAGGACATGTACTGGTTCTGAGAGGAGGCTCTCATCGCACGCTGAGCGCACGTCGGACCGGCGCGGCACCGGGCGGGCGGCGGCGTCAGGCCTCGGTGCGGGCCGCGCCTGCGATGGGCTGCGCGCCGCTCTAGGGCTGTAAAGACATTGTCTAGTTTAAGTGTTGTTCATCGAAGGACTCCGCACGTGCATCGGTATTCAATACCACAAATGACTGACTCGAGTACACGAGTGTGTGTACCAAGTATCGACCTGTGTGTTATCTATAGTTTGCTGAGGCCAGTTTCCATGTAAGCTTCCACAATACGCGCACCTACGGAGTACGTCGATGTCAAAGTACAGTAGTTTTGTAGTTAGGAACATTGTAGCTCTAACTTGTATAAATTAGATGAGGAATGGAATACTTAGGCACGTTAGTTGATTAATGAACAGATAGACGGGCGGTGCAGTGCGGTGCAGTTGTGTAAGGAACTGCTCGATTGCTTCAGCCTCTCACCGTTATCGTACCGAAACAAATATGCTTCTGGAAAATCGTAATCACTCAACAGATATTATTTGAATGATTTATGAACGTTGTATTATTAGCATAACTAAAGCTGTGAGTTAGGTCGACAGGCTGCAACCGACCAACACATCGGAATTAGTAAACAAAAACACGATAAAGATATGCGAAGAGATAGATGGGCGGTGGAAGGTGTACCGGGTGTACGTGTCCAGTTTATTGACCGGAATTGATACTCGTAATAGCGGGAGCGATGTTTTGTGAAGTACATTTGTGTCGTAACGTGTCGCGCGGAGATCGCACACGGACAGGTGCAGCGGACCGCGCCCTCCGGCCACCGCGCCACCGCGACCTCACTGCACACAGCTTCTCATGTGCTAACTGCTCGGTGTGAGTGAGGAAGTCGGCTCACCTGGCTGGTCGCATCGCACCGCACGTTGCGACCACTTATATCATTCAATGATCCGGTTTTACATCGTGTCTTAGTTAAAATAATTTATCTGTGCGGTATCATAGAGACGGAATGTAATGTAACATCATTAGCACAATATTTAGTTCAAAGCTATGTGAAAGTGATCTCTGTCGATATAAAATATTAAATTATGATAATTACGAGTGATGTTAGTTCGTTTTAAAGATTTATTCATGGCTCTTCGACAACGGGACTAAAATATGAAAAATTTAGAGTTCAAAAACTCTATTACTTAAAAAATATACATAGATAATTGAAAAAGACAAAATAAACTGTTTGTGTGATCTATAGGGAGACTCTACCTTAAGATAATTTAATTTTAATCCCCATCCAAGTCTATCATAAATTCCTTCCTGTATAAAGTTTTAAATGTACATATCTAGTTTAATTTAGTATTTAGAAGATAGTATGTATTACGATTGTAAATATAATAATTGCACAGAATCAGTAGACCGACTTCGGGCGTAGAGGCCGGGGCCGCCCCGAGCGCACCCTGCCTACCGCCGCACAATGTGATCTCTATGCCAACATTCTCCTGTACATTCGTTTGTTCATCTGTTGGTCGTGCGGTCGTGCGGTCGTGCGGTCGTCGTGCAGCTGGTGCTCTGAACGCACTAGGCCTATAAAATCAAAGGCAGCTATATCCAAGTCTGTCAAATATTCAGGTAAACTACAAAAATCGGCCCTAAACACGTCATTACGGATCCTCCCAATCCATCGAAGTACTGCTCTTGCTAGGGCCAGTGTTAACAACACTCGCGGTTTGAGAATCTGAAATAACTTTGTTCGTATAGCTACGATATTCTTTATTTTAAAGCAGATTTATAAAGAATGAGAATATTACTAATAATCTGAATTTGAAATGATAAAACTTCGTTTATTAGTACTTACTACAGAGTAAACTTAACTTTTTTGAACTGAATTTGTTAGAGATTTAGCTGCATTTGTTATAACATGAAAACACTAAAGCATGTTCAACTAACTAAACAAGATAGAGCCATTGTTAATACATTTTACGACATTATGGCGTTTAGCTGCCTTTGATTTTATAGGCCTCACTTGTTTGTGGCATTTGCCAACGCTCATTACACAGCATCTGATAAGAACGATAGATGGCGCGCGAGTTGCCTCAACGGGATGTAAAACATTTGATTAGCTCTGTAATTTAAGAGCATTTGTATTGTAAAGATGTAGCGTGTCGCTGTGTGCGTGGGGATGCTGAATGACCGCGTCGAAGACAATGGAGCGCGGAATGCGCCCGGAATAGCGCGGCCGCGTGCCAGCAGCACCGCTGCTAAGATAATAATGGCAGCTCCTCTCGATTCCTCTCATTACACTAAACAACATTAATATTCCGGCACTCCCAGCGGCTCGCATTCCGCAACTCGCGGTCTTGTCATAAAACTGCGGCCGCGTGTCACTCAAACTCGCGCGTGGCGGCGGCCGCGACCTCGGGAACCTTTACGAGTATTACCGCTCAACTCGTTGTTGTGGAAGATTCGTATTTAGCCGAACGTTAAACTAAAAATGCGACCTGCACACTGTGCGACACGTGCGTCTCTCGCGCTGTGTGTCGGAGCCGTGCTTGCCGGCTAGAACTGCACTATGTATTCAGTAGCTTTATTACAAGAAGAAGGAAGCGGTCTCGGGAGTGGCATCCGCTCCCGCGGCACGGAGGCACGTGGGCACGGGGGGGGGGAGGGCGCCTCGCTCGCATGTTGTAATCAATTCCAATATACTACTGTGATTGTTTCACATCACTTGTTTTATTTCTTAACATTTCCCTTTATGTTATGCAACTAAATAGTGACGTCGCTCACACGTGTAATGATCTAGACACGTGTGTGTACGAACGTATACTCGTATGTTGTGGACTGACAGAAACAGCTAGACAAGTGGTGGTGGGGTTTGTATGCACCCTTGAGGGCTGGTACTTCTTTGCCAGCACTGCCTCTCGCAACGCAATTATACATTTTTGTGTACAGGGCCCTTCTTCGTATTTTAAAAGACAGAAGCGCCTAGGGCCCACCTGATCGTAAGTGGTTACCGGTACTCAAGAACATCATTCAGTAATTCATGGCCGACTTCCGCGGAAGCAGGTTGTTATATGACTGTTGTTACTGCTCAACTGCAACTTTAAATAATCGTGCAGTGAGGCGTTATTGCTTACTAAGATGTTCGGCCCTATTACACCGAACAACATCTTTATTTCAATATATAATAATAGGCAGCTACTTATCAAGATACGGTTTTACTGTACAGGCCATTTGAAACATAATTGTATATTATGTGTGGCTGACAATGAATTGTAAAAAAAAACAATGTTATTTAGAGAATATAGAATTCTATTTTCAAACTCAGGTATTTCTTTATTGATTAGTGTTTTGCTTTCACTACATTAGTATGTTTTTCATCAATATGGACACATTACAAATATAAGTAATCATGGGATAATAGTTTTGTTTCTGTAACAATGCCCCACAAAGCGAGTCACCAGGTTCATGATGTGTTCGCAGTGAACACTAATAACTGGTTGTTAGTTTCGACGCTTTCGTCGTGGAAATGTTAATCTGTAAATGAGCCCCGTGGTCGCCGGAAACCTGAAACCAACAATGACGAATGAAAGGCGACAGTGCAAGCTGACGATACACACTCTACGTCTGAGCTAGCAGCTAGCATCACAACAATATTTATCTATTTGCGCAATTTGGCAAAGAAAAAACTTGATAAGTGCGTGCCACGAGCTGAACGGTCGCCAGCGACTACAAAGGGCATTGAAAAGTGACCACTGCTCTGCCAGAGATACATCGATACCATGGGTGCATATGTTGATTGAAAGAAATATATATTTTCTTATATATTACCTATCTGTATACATACTAAACGACAACTTGATAGATAAAAGTCCAATATTTTAAAGTTAGAGGAGCTGGCAGGCGGCTGCTCGTCGGCTCTTATACACAGTTTTTTTCAGCTTACCTCTTCGCTGGTAGCCTAAGGGGCTATTCTATCTCCGTTATGTCTGGTAGGTGCACTCGTGGGACTCCACCTGTGAGAGTGCTACTAGCCCTGGCAAGACAAGTGCTTCGCAGTGCGGTGTCGGGTTCGACAAGTTCGACGAGGACGCTGACCTGTCGGATCGGTTATGACTCAGTCGCTAAATGGCAGGCGTCCCTTGACCCTAAGACTTTTAACACCATGTGAGTATTGATCCCAAGGGGCCAAGTATCGGGCGAGTGCTTTTCCGGTCTCTAACAGAGAATAGACCTGACGTCGTCGGGGCCTAAAAGATAAGACGATAAGAAAAAAAAGAAAAAAAAAAGACGTCCGGTGCATTCGTATCTTGCGATGCATCGGTGTTTCCCGCCAGTAGGTATCAATTTTTCCAATGAAATAAGTACTTAACAAGTGTTCACGATTGACTTACATGGTGAGGTCGAGTAATAAAAGTCAAAGTTAGGGCGTCTAGTGTGTCCGCACGGGTAGATACCACCGCCCTGCCTATTTCTGCCGTGAAGCAGTAATGCGTTTCGGTTTAAAGGGTGGAGCAGCCGCTGTACTATTAAAAATAGGACCTTACAACTCATGTCTCAAGGTGGGTGGCGGCATTTGCGTTGTAGGTGTCTGGGATCCGATAACTACTTAACACAAGTTGGCCTGTGAGCTCGTCCACCCATATAAGCAATAAAAAAAAATTTGGTTAGGTTACATCGTAAACAGATGTCGCGGGCTATTATTAAGAGATCATTAGGTGTTATCGTTTAAGTTTAAGTAGGTCATTATGCATGTCATTGTGGTCAATAGGTAGGATGTAATGCCTACCCATGCAGACTTAAGTAAAGTTAATAAAATCGGGGGGCGATTGTAGTAAGCTACATTACTCAGAGAATGCTGCTGTCTATTCTCCGGTGAAGTCCATAGTCGCATTTTATAATAAGAGCCACAGGAAGAACAGGGGTGGTATTCTAAGTCATACAGTTATTTATGTGATAGACAGAAAGACAGAAGAGTATCGCGTGAGGTCCTGTGCGTGCCTGACGTTTTGTATAACGTCCTGTCTGACCGCTTGTCCGCTTTATTGACCAATTCAGATGGATTTTCATTAGCAGAACGAGAAATTCTCAAATAATGTTATTTTGGGCCACTTTGTTTCTGGAATATTGGGAGCTTCTACGTAATACTGAAGAATTGTTTTCTGGAAGATTTTTTTAACTGTACTTTTTTACAAAAAGTTACAAAGGTAATCAACTGTTTTTCTAAATCGCTTCGTGTCGTTTATATGATTGGCAGGCAGATAATATCTCCTCGGAGAATAATGTAGAGTACTGTTGTTTCTGAAATACTCCCAAAGTTAGCTATTTACTAAGAATGTTATTAAATTTTTTAATTTTTTTATTGCCCTTTTAGTCAGACGAACATACGGCCCACCTGATGGTGAGTGGTTACCGTCGCCTATGAACTTTAGCAATGCCAGGGGCAGAGAGAGGCCCTGTCTACTGTTGAGTACTCTCCACAAGACTCGTTTGAAGAAGGACAAGTCATAGCATTCGGGAAACACCGTGGAGGGGAGCTTATTCCAAAGCTGGATCTGCTTCTTGTTTCTTCTGTAAAGGGCCAAAAGCTGTAGTAGCTGATTCTCAACAGAGCACTGAGACTGTGGTTACGGTCAACAGGCTTTTGTAGACAATGAACATTCAAATTATCGACTGAATGAGGTCGCTGAACTAAACGCGCTTCGAGC